GCTCACTGTCTTGATGGTGTATATGCATCAATCAATCGTTTGTTGTAAGATTCAGATAATTATTTTTTAAAAGCGAGACACTTTAAATGAGAATAAGATAGAAAAGTATTTCCTTGTGCCCCCCTCTCCCTGTTAATGCCCTACCTGTCCCCCTGGCAAAACTTTGCTAGACCTGCCCCTGCACAGTTACCAGCTGTCAGCTACCTAAAAAAGGATCCTGGTGTTATTTGTCTCTCAGAAACAGTTCATAACTTCCCTTCAACTCATTCATGTCACCTAAAAGGTAAACCTGTTTCTCCATCACAGCTCTGATGATTCAGTAAGGACATCTCCTGGTTTCATCTTCATGTTTCCCTCTCACCACGTAACCAAACAGACATCATGACCAGCAGTTTTTTTGCAGCTGTGGCTCCAGCAAACATCAGCTGATACTAGAAATTAATATTAAATAAATTCTAACAACAGCTGATCAAGCTTAAACGTGCTGCTGTTGTTTAACGTGAACTCCGCTGGTTTCCTCTTTCTGATGCAAAGTGGGAGATAAACAAACAAGAGAGCCGATCAGCTGATCATTGATCAGTTTTCATGAATTGAAGTAGAAACGGGAGAGGGAGGGGGAGAGAATGAAAGAAGAAGAGGCAGCTGTGCAGCAAAGACACAGAATAACTCCAGCTTTGTGCCTTTTTCATTGTAGCTGAATTACGGGACTAACTGTTCCTTTTCACCTCAATAAGAAACGTGTAATATTTTCTCTGAATACCAGATGAGACGGTTGGCAATTCTAATAACTTATGAACAAAATAAAGTTCAACATCATTAACTTCATAGCACCCACCCAGCTGTATAGAAACTCTGTCATGCTAGCTAGCACGCAGTACGGAAAAAGTCAGAATAACGAAAATAAACTCCACCTAAACTTGGTTTATATCTGACCCAGAGAGACTGCAGGTCATAACTTCTTACCTGAAGTTCAGTTCACACTTGGACCGGCGGCCGCCTCGGGTCTCTTCTCCTCCTGCCTCCCCTTTCCCTCATCCACCTGTTGGCCTCCACCACTTGCTAATGTTACTGAATCTGTGGAAGCTCCGCGACAGCCACCACACGAAGTAACGAGTAACGAGCCTATCTAAATCCCAGTAACGACTAACGCGTTCCTGATTTTAGCATAATAACTAGTTACCGTGCTCGTTACCACAATAATAACGTAGTTACTGTAACGTGTTACTTAATAACGCGTTAGTCCCAACACTGTGATTGACAAAAACATTAAATGATCATGTTTATTTTCACATAAATGTTCCATCGGTCCTTCTTCTACAATAAGTTTAGAAATGAAAAATAATAATAACACACCAGGAAAAAGCCAACAGCACGAGTCCTGAAAGGCTTAAAGAGAAAATAAACGCACAAAGAATGAAACAAAAAGGCACAAAACCTCAAAACAAGAGTGAATTAAATCTGAGCGACACACAAAGATGCTAAAAGCCCCAAACATGAACCTGTGAGGTCATTAATACCTGTGTGTGTGCATGTTTACATGTCTTTGTGGGGACCAAAATGCCCGTCCCCACAAGTTTGAAGACATTTGTGAGACTCAGAATGTGGTTTTAGTGTCAGGGACAGTCAGGTCAGGGTTAGGCATTCAGTCTTAATGGTTAGAGTAAAAGGCTGAGGAGAGCATGATGTCAAATAGATGTCCCCACAAGGATATGAAAACACAACCGTGTGTGTGTGTTACTGTGAATTTGTGAAACAAGTGAAGATTTCAGAATCAGTGAGAAATGTTTCACTTCCTGTTGGTGAAGAAGAGCAGACTCCTCTTCAGCCACAGAAATGAAGAAGCTTTTATTTTGTCAGCCTGACAAACACGAGCTCAGCCACGAGCAGAGGCGACCCTGCAGAGGTGAAGGTCACAGTCAGAATCAGCGCCAGAGAACCGCACAAGGACGGCCTCATTGGTCACGGCTGAGTTCATTATGTGATGGTAACAAGCTGATTATTACAGAACAGGAAACACACGTCTGCTCATCAAACACCAGCTGCTGCTGCTTTTATCAGTCTGCCAACAAAACCTCACAAGAAAGAAGTTTTTGTGAGTTTGCAGCGTTCCTCTAAACTGAAAACTAAAACAGACTGAAAATGGGAACATGCACCCACACTCGAGAGTCAGGCAGCTTAAATGTGTTTGTCTTCATCTGTAGTTACGTTTCATTGGCTGGAAATGTGCTAACTGGAATCATTCATGAGTCCAGATGAATAAAAACAAGTGTTTACTGCTCCACGCTGCACGAATCTGAATCAAAATCACTCAGACGCGCCCACGTAGGCATTCCACTAAAACCATGTGACCACCTTCACCTTTAAACCTGTCGTGAATATAAATTTAGACTCTTCACTTTATTTTGAAAGAACAGATTTGCAGGAAGTGCGGCTGCTGCAGAAACTCTTCACTTTTCACTGGCTTTAATCTTGAAGGTTTCTCCAGATGTGGAACATTCATGCTAAACATTCAACATCTGACGACCGTCTCCGTGTAAAACACTGACAAACTCAAACTTTATACGGTAACTGACAGATTTATTCCTCCATTTTCAGGCATTTCACAATGAACTTGGATTAGTTTGATGATTTTATTCACGTTGGTGAATAAAACCAGCCAAGAGGCTGATTCCTGCAGAGGAGGAGGCAGAGTGGAGGAATCTGCAGGTTCTGTCTCTAACACACAACCAGAGCTTCAATCATAACGAGCACATAATAAAACCATGATCCCCTGATCGACTCTTTTAGCCTGTTTCCTCTGGATCGAACAGGATCTAACAAACCCCAGCTTCTGCTGGGACACTGGTCATCATGGGAGGAAAAAGATGGCTGCCATGTTGCCGTTTCCTGTCTTACACCAGCGTTATACTTCCTGTATCTGTGGGTCTGAGTTTTTAATCAGAGGATGAATTTAAAGCTTTCAGTCTGCTCTACAACCCACCACCTATCCACACGTCTGCTAAGTGGACTGGAAATCAGTAAAACTTCTACCAGACTTTAGTAAATATTGCATTAAGATGAGCAGACAGATTTTAATCTCAGCATCGTGCACACAGATTTTTCAGGACACTGGAAGAGTTCCTGCTGTGGATTTAGATGTTAGTGTTGTGTGGATGATCCCATTCTGTGATCTTTGTGTTACTAACACTGATGACACCACCGTTATTGGACTCATCTCGGACGGGGATGAGTCTGCCTACAGGAGGGAGGTTGAACGTCTGGTGTCCTGGTGCAGCCACAACAACCTGGTGCTGAATGCCTGGTGTCCTGGTGCAGCCACAACAACCTGGTGCTGAATGCCCAGAAGACAGTGGAGATTATTGTGGACTTCAGGACGCACACAGCTCCACTCCCCCCCATCATCCTGTCTGACACCCCCATCACCTCTGTGGACTCATTCCGCTTCCTGGGTACCACCATCACCCAGGACCTGAAGTGGGAGCCCACCATCATCTCCGTCATTAAGAAAGCCCAGCAGAGGATGTACTTCCTGAGGCAGCTGAAGAAATTCAACCTGCCAACACGGACGATGATGCAGTTCTACACTGCAATCATCGAGTCCATCCTCACCTCCTCCATCACTGTGTGGTACGCTGGAGGCACTGTCAGGGACAAACAGAGACTGCAGCGTGTTGTGCGCTCTGCTGACAAGGTGATTGGCTGCAGACTCCCATCTCTGCAGGACCTGCACACCTCCAGGACACTGGGGCGTGCAGCTCGGATCTCAGCTGACCCTTCTCACCCTGGACACAGTCTGTTTGACCTGCTCCCCTCAGGCAGGAGGCTCCGGTCCATTCGCACCAGAACCTCTCGCCATAAGAACAGTTTCTTCCCCTCTGCTGTTGGACTCATGAACAATAACCGTATGACTGTTCCCACCACTAACACATGACCCTACGCTGTGTTCACTGCATCATTCCATGTTTGGCACTGATCACCACCTGCACTCATGTATATATCATGTATATATCTATCTACTTAGCACTTTTAATTCTTATTCTTATTTTTATTTTCATGTCTATTTAAGTGTAATTTATGACAGTATGTTTGCACTGAAGCACCACAGCAATTTCCTAATGTTGCAAACCTGCTCAACATTTGGCAATAAAACCCTTTCTGATTCTGATGCTTTTACACTTTAGGACCCTCGAGACCTCTGCTGCTCAGCCGTCCTGATCGCTGCCTCCACTTTAACCAGAGGCTGTAACCTCTGATCATTTCACCTGCACCGGCAGTAAAACTCTTCTCCAGAACCAAACGTGCCATAAACCCATCACAGCTTCATCATCAGCTCAGTCTCAGCAACATGCAGACGACCGAGCAGCAGAAACTTTGCAGGGAACGTCTGAAGTCTGTTCTTCAGTTTTCCCAGCTCACTGTTTATTGAACATGAGACAGAAAAATAACTTCACCTTTAATGTGAAACTTTTATCGCCTGTGACATGTTTGCAGGAAGTTTTCATGCTGTGATTTAGTGTCACAGCCATAAATATCACACAAGGTAAAAACTACAAGTCCCAGCATCCTCTGTGTTTAGGGAGGAGCAGTGAAAGTGAAAGTGTTGATCCTCCGTTCAGAGCAGCAGGAGGAGGAAGGTGGAGCTGAGGCAGGTGAGTGTTAACACCGCTCTGACATTTCTGTCTCTCTGTGGCGGGAACAACAGGCTCCGTCAGTGGAGGCAAAAATAATCAGACTTTGGTTTTTCAAAGGAAACTACTTTATGTTGGGAGAAGCCGCGCGCTCATTGGATAACGACTTGTCAATCTCAAGTTATTAGCCAATGAGCGCGCAGGTTCACAGTAAGACCCGCCCTTATCTCGACGTGTTTTAAAACTAAAATGGCGACAGAAACTCTGTGAGTGGAGTTCAGGCTGACTTTATGTAAGTGCGACGTTTGAGCCACTTCCTGTTCTCAGTCCCGGCGTCCTGATCACCGAGGTTTCTGTTGGTCTGATATCTGATATTGATTATATCGGTAAACAGGCTGTAGGCAGAAACATCAGGTCTGATCTGAAAATCCCTTCAGAAACAAACTTTAAGAGTTTTATGTCCGTGTGAGGCCGCACGCTGATTGGATAACCACCTGTCAGTCTCAGGGTATTAGCCAATGAGCGCGCAGATTCACAGTAAGACCTTCGTCATTCTTGTAAACTAAAACATCGACAGTAAAACTGTAACGTGTCCTGTGATCTATAAACACTCTGTGATGAATAATCTGAAGTCATTTTGAGCCTGACAGTAGTTTCCTGTCACAGAGCAGAAGCTGCAGGCAGTTTTTGGCACCTTTATATTTAATTTATTCCAAAATAAATCAATAAAGGTAGAAAAGAACTCTCAGTGACATTAAAAATCTATTTTTAAAGACAGATGTGACCAAGTGCAACAAATATAAGATGAGATGTTTACAGATATTTGAAGTATTGATCATATGTAGAACACAGAGCAGGTCCAATAACAGAGTCATGCTGCTCACAAACAGCAGTTTGGTTTCATGAGCTCACTTCCTGCAGTGATCCTCAGCTTCTCTCCAAAGGAGCCGTAACATGTGGGCTCCTCACCATGATGATGATCCCAAACACACTGAGTTCCTTCATCCACCTGATCATGTACTTATTAAATAATGTGATGGTTTTGGTGTTTTTTAAAGACTTTGAGCCTCTAAAATAACTGGTTTGGACTTTAGGGCCAAAGCTCCAACATTAGAAAGCCGTCAGTGTGATGCTTCCAGGACAACAGCACCTCTGAGTGTGTGTGTTTACCTCTCAGACTAACTCCACCCTGACATCAAGAAGATGGAGGAAGAGGACGGAGCAGCATCTGCAGCATCCAGCTGTGTGTCTGTGAGGAGTGACTGGTCCAGAGAAATACTTCCTCCAGACTTCAGTGATGAACCTGCAGCAACAATGTTCTTCAATCATGGAGCTCAGCTGACCATGTAAGAGAGCTGCTGACTCAGAGTTCAAAGGTTGTTTATATAAATGTGTTCTACCAGTGACATCATAACTTAACCTAACACTGGTCTGTGTATGAAGTATCATTTAGTGGCCGTTGTTAAAGTTGTATAATGATGATGCTAGTTTGGGGTGTATTTTCCTGCTGATGCAAATGCATCTACTTTGCCCTTTGTCTGGTGCTTTGGACAAAGACGTCCAATGAAACTCAGAACAACACAGTTTGCACCACCAGCAGGCAGAGGAAGTGGCTGACATCCAGAAATCCTACCAGTGGCTGAACAAAGCTGGACTGAAAGACAGCACAGAGGCACTAATCATGGCAGCACAGGAACAAGCTCCGAGCACAAGACCCATAGAGCCCGGGGTCTACATGGCTCTTTTTGGGGGGGTTGTGTTGTATTAATAGTGACTTTGTTTCTTTGGACCTGACCAAAATCTTTTGTTTTTCAGTTCAGTTGCAACATTGACTAACACTAATGCAGGGGTCGGCAACCTGCGGCTCTTTAGTCCTTACAGTGCGGCTCCTCGTGGTTTGGGAAAATAAATTAGAAGTATTTAGCTGAAGTGTATTTTATTTATGTTCTTTTTTAACTTGTAGTTCTAAATTGGAAGATTATTGTGATATTGAAATATAAAAATAAAATTATATTTTATTATTTTTTGATCGTTCAAATAAGCGTCACACTCGTGGAAGCCGGTGTACCCGCCGAAACGCCGTGCATTTATCGAGACTTTCAGCCCCAGGAAGGCCAATTATGGATCTTCGGATCCACATTATGTCAGCAGCTGTTCTCCACCGTGAACTACGTTAAAAACAAACACCGCTCACGCCTCACAGACGACAGCTTACAGTCCTGTAAAGATGAAAGTGACTTCGTACAGCCCCGACCTGCAGACGCTGTGCGCAGAGGTTCAGGAGCAGAAGTCCCGTTGTAAACATATCACGGCAGACCCGACGATGTTTGCATGAACACGCTTTTCAGCTTCTCTTTATTGACCACTTTTCACACACGGTTGCTGTACGCACACAGCCGGCTGTAGCTTTGCAGCTCACAGCCCGACACACACCAACACAACAGCACAGACGTTAAGGCGGCGAGGCGTGATTGCGGGTGCCGCTCAGGTGCGTCCGCCTCCCCTGCAGCGGCGCTGCAGACCACGCCCCGCCACACACATTAACCAGGTAAAATACATATTTAGGCAGAATGTTGCAAATATCTATTTTTCATCTTTCAGCAGCATAGAGCTTTTTTCCAATTATTTTTTAAAAGTCAGGTCAAGGCTCCAAAAGCCCAAAGGAGATAAAAGGGTGGCGGCTCACAGCAGCTTTTGTTTGCTACATCATTTTAGTTCAGCTGGGTGTCTTTCCTTTGGTTATATTTCTTTAAGAGTTCAAATGTGTTCATTACATAAATAACATGTAATTTTCTCTGTAGCACTTCATGGATTTCATAAGCAACACACCGTTAGTTGTTCACACAAAGCATAAAGGTAAAAAACAGTATATACAGTGTTATCTTCATTCTAGATGTCAAAAAGTATTTGTGGCTCCCAGTGTTTTCTTTTGCGTGGAAACTGGCTCCAAATGGCTCTTTGGGTCCTGAAGGTTGCTGACCCCTGACCTAATGGTATATTTTTTTTAGCTGGATCGTTCTATAAAAACATGAATCAAATCTGAGAAAAGTTTCCACCTGACCTGTTGAATGTTATTGAAGCCAGAAGTTTGCCTTCATACTGTGTTTCTTGCATGCCTTTTGTGGTGTACTAATTGATGTGAAATGAATGCAATGTGGTTGTGTTTGCAGAGGTCAGAGGTCACAGTCTCCAGCATCCAGCTGTGTGTCTGTGAGGAGTGATTGGTCCAAAGAAAAAGATCCTCCATATTTCAGTGATGAACCTGCAGCAACAATGTTCTTCAATCATGGAGCTCAGCTGACCATGTAAGAGAGCTGCTGACTCAGAGTTCAAAGGTTGTTTCTATAAATGTTCTACCAGTGACATCATAAATGATTCCTAATGGTGGTCCGGGTACGATAATGCTAGTATCAATCGTAGTAGTAATGCAATCCAAGGTAATGATTTCTGCTCTGTTGCTGTGAACGTCTCTGCAGCCGTCTGTACTCTAATCTGAGACAACTATTACTGACAGAAACCATCACATCATCCAGTTTGTGTGTTTGCAGCTGCTTAAAAGATTTTAAACAGAGATTAATCTGTAATTCATGTGATGTGTTTGTGTTTGCAGAGGTCAGAGGTCACAGTCTCCAGCATCCAGCTGTGTGTCTGTGAGGAGTGACTCGTCCAAAAACAGTCCTCCACTCTTCAGTGATGAACCTGCAGCAACAACGTTCTTCAATCATGGAGCTCAGCTGACCATGTAAGAGAGCTGCTGACTCATTTACGGGTGTTTGAAATTCTGTGACCACTTTGTAATTTTAGTTTATATTTTTAAAGTGTTTTTATTTGTAGTTGCCTGTATTTTTATTACACTGTGTGTAACGTGGTGGTTTGTGCTGTTTGGGATTGTTTTGGTGAGTTTGTGTCAGAACATCAGATAAATGATTTCATCACATTTTAAAAGAAAGTATCAGGATAATAATCTGAACTGAGTCATCAGAAATAGAAAGATGGTCTCAACAGGCCACTGAGCTGATCTCCAAAGAAATGCAGAAGATTGAAGAGTCCGAGGCTGTTTATTTGTCACAGGCATCGTCATACACGTACAACACAGTGAAATGTGCTGAGCTGCTCCTGTGACTGGACAAAACATTAGAAACAATCATTAAATGAAATAATGAAACATTGTGCAGATGTAATGTTAAAGTGCTTTGTGCCACATTAGCACAGCATGTACTGACAGAGCAGTGCAAGCAGAACAAAGCAAATGAACAAAGTGATGTAAACAGAGTAACTGAACAGAGTGAGCAGAGTAATATCAGCAGTAATGAAGCAGCAGGATCAGTGTAGCAGCGTGTGACGTCATAATGAATCAGGTATGATCTGAAATATGACAGTGAGACAAGAACATGATGTAAGGTCCTGTTTAAACCCTGATGGTGATGCTATGAGGGGAGCATGTTCTGATTTAGGACTTGGATGGTCTGAGGATAGAAGCTCCTCTCTGTTTGTGTCCTGATGGTGCAGAAGCTCCTCTCTGTTTGTGTCCTGATGGTGCAGAAGCTTCTGCCTGATTGTAGAAGGAGCTGAAGCCAGCATCATCCCAGAGGTGAAGCTCCTCTGTGTGCAGACCTGAGGTCAGATTCCTCCAGGCTGATGTTCAGGATCTACAGAAACGTGTGGTTGTAGTTATTGCTGCACTGTGTGCTGACAGCAGATACTCAGAACAAAGCGCTGCACACGTGTTCTTTACAAACATCTGTACATAGAAAATATGGATTATGGCAGTGAATGAACACGTTTCTGTCATTTGTTTCATTGGCTTCTTTTTTCTGCCTGTGTTCATGTGATTAATGTCTAACACATAAACAGGTTTGTAATCAAACATCACATCATCAGGGAGGCATCATGAAACAAAGTTACTGCTGGAGGCTGAACTCAATTTGGTGGCAATGTTCAAAAATATCACTCAGATCATTTCAAAGCTTTTAGTTCTTCTTCTTCACTTCTGTAAAATAATAGAAAGGAAATCAGAACCCAGAAGTTCACTTCCTGATGACTGAACTCTTTCAAAATAAAGCTGAAAGCTCTGAATGTGACACCGCTGCTCCACAACAGTTTTTAGAGGAGGTCAAAGGTCAGTTCAGAGTGATGGATCCCAAACTTCCAGTACATCCAGTGAAGGACATAATCAGCTCTGTGATGAAGGCTTTTACTGTGGAGTTTGTAGGCTGATCACTCTGTGTTTAATAAGACAGGCAGGAACAGCAAAGGAAACTTGGATTCTGAACTCAAACACAAGTTTCTCCACTTTGACTTTTCTCTGTGACCATCAGAGCTTCTGCACAGTGTCATCAAATCTGGATGTTTGTCACTGACAGTCAATGATTTTAGTGATAAAGAAATGTGTTCACAGAGGGAGGAAGAGGAAGAGGAGTGGTGTCTGTGAGGAGGAGCAGCTGTCCTGCTGTGCTTTGTGTCAGGACGTCCTGAAGGATCCAGTCTCTACCAGCTGTGGACACTGGTTCTGCAGACAGTGCATCTCCTCATACTGGGACCAGTCTGCTTCATCAGGAGACTGGTCCTGTCCCCAGTGTGGAGAAAGATCCAGAAGCAGAGCTGGACTGCAGATAGCCAGTCAGAGCAGCTGTGTACAAAGTAAGACTGAACATCTGTCTGCTGATGGACTCATTTCTGAAAACTGGACTTCTTGTTGTTGTTCAGACATTGAAGAGTTTTCTGTCTGTTTTTCTTTCTTTCAGCAGATGTTGGTCTGCAGGAGGTTTTAGATGAACATAAGATCAGTCTGAGGAGGAGATGTGAACGTGTGACTGAAGGAAGTGATGAAACAGGAAGTAGAACCCTCCTCAACAGGATCTACACTGAGCTCTACATCACAGAGGGACAGAGTGAAGAGGTTCATAGCCAACATGAGGTGAGGCAGCTGGAGACAGCTTCCAAGATGGACGCCCTCCATGACACTCCAATCAGGTGCCAGGACATCTTTAAAGCCTTACCTGACCAACAGAGACCCATCAGAGTGGTTCTGACCAACGGCGTGGCTGGTGTTGGAAAAACCTTCTCAGTGCAGAAGTTCACTCTGGACTGGGCAGAGGGCTTGGAGAACCAACATGTCAGTGTGGTGGTTCTGCTTTCATTCAGGGAGCTGAACCTGATCAGAGAGGAGCAGTACAGTCTTCTGGAGCTGCTCCATGTTTTCCATCCAACACTAGAGAAGGTCACAGCAGAGAAGCTGGCTGTCTCTCAGCTTTTGTTCATCTTTGACGGCCTGGATGAAAGCAGACTTTCATTGGATTTCACCAACAGGAAGCTGCTGTCTGATGTCACACAGAAGTCATCAGTCAGCCAGCTGCTGACAAACCTCATCCAGGGGAATCTGCTTCCCTCGGCTCTCGTCTGGATAACTTCCCGACCTGCAGCGGCCAATCAGATCCCTCCTACATGTGTTGACAGGCTAACAGAAGTACGAGGCTTCACTGACGCCCAGAAGGAGGAGTACTTCAGGAGGAGATTCAGTGATGAAGAGCTGTCCAGCAGAATCATCTCCCACATGAAGACATCCAGGAGCCTCCACATCATGTGTAGTATCCCAGTCTTCTGCTGGATCACTGCTACAGTTCTGGAGCACATGTTGACTACAGAGCAGAGAGGAGAGCTGCCCAAGACCCTGACTGACATGTACTCACACTTCCTGCTGGTTCAGACAAAGAGGAAGAAGAACAAGTACCACGAGGGACATGAGACGAGTCCACAGGAGCTGACGGAGGCTGACAGGGAAGTTCTTCTGAAGCTGGGGAGGCTGGCGTTTGAACACCTGGAGAAAGGAAACATCATGTTCTACCAAGAAGACCTGGAGCAGTGTGGTCTGGATGTGACAGAGGCCTCGGTGTACTCAGGAGTTTGTACAGAGATCTTCAAAAGAGAGTGTGTGATCTTCCAGAAACCAGTCTACTGCTTTGTTCATCTGAGCATCCAGGAGTTTCTGGCTGCAGTCTACATGTTCCACTGTTTCACCAACAGGAAGTCAGAGGTGCTGAAGGACTTCCTGGGAATAAAATACAACGAGTCATCTCTGGATGATTTTTTGATGGAAACACTAACAAAATCCTTCAGGAGTAAAAATGGTCGTCTGGACCTGTTTGTTCGCTTCCTTCATGGCCTCTGTCTGGAGTCCAACCAGAGACTCTTAGGAGGTCTGCTGGGTCAGACAGAGAACAGTCCAGAAACCATCCAGAGAGTCATCAAGAACCTGAAGAATAACAAGAAGCTTAAAATCTCTCCTGACAGAAGCATCAACATCTTCCACTGTCTGATGGAGATTAACGACCTCTCAGTACACCAGGAGATCCAACAGTTCCTGAAGTCAGAGAACAGATCAAAGAAGAAACTCACTATGATCCAGTGCTCAGCTCTGGCCTTCATGCTGCAGATGTCAGAGGAGGTTCTGGATGAGTTAGACCTGCAGAAGTACAACACATCAGCAGAGGGACTACAGAGACTGATTCCAGCTGTGAGGAACTGCAGAAAGGCTCGGTGAGTCCAAGATTTGTTATTCAGAAATGCAGAAGCTGGAGGATGTTTGGTCATTTGTTCTGACACAAGCTGTTGTGTAATATTTTTGAAAGAGTTTCCAAAACCAAATTTGTGTAAAGTTGGAAATAAACACTTCCACTTAACTCTGTCAAACGTTTTTTCTGCATCTAAAGAAAATATTGTAGTTTCGATGTTTTTACTGCATGAGTAGTCTATGAAACTAAGTAATCTACGTGTATTTGTTGATGAGTGCCTACCTTTTATGAAACCAGTTTGGTCAGGATGAATTAAGAGTGAGGTTATTTTCTCTAATCTCTTTGAGAGAGCTTTGCAGATTATTTTAAGGTCTACATTTATAAGTGATATTGGACGATAGCTTGAGGGATGTACAGGGTCTTTGCCTGGTTTTAGCAGGAGACTAATGTTTGCAGAATTCATATTTGATGGAAGTCTGCCCTTTTCTGCCCTTTTCTTTGATTTCCAACAATGTTCTGTAAAAAACTGGTGCCAGAATCGTCCAGAATTCTTTGTAGAATTCTGCCATCTGGACCTGGAGCCTTATTATTGGGCATACTTATCAGGGCTTCCTGGAGTTCACCCGGCGTCACCTGGTGAATCCACTGACATTGCTTGACTGTCTAGTAATTTTGGAAGAGTTACGCTGTCAAGAAACTAATAAATGTCTTTTTTTAGACGCGTTTATTTGTGGTGAATATAAAGTTTCATAGAAATCCCTAAAAATGTTGTTCATTCTTTCAGGTCATACATTGTGTTCCCAGATCATCTTTAACAGCACATATAGTTATTTTTTCTTTCTTTATTTTTAACTGGTTAGCTAGAAATCGACCAAATTTGTTACTGTGTTCAAATTTTTGGGGTATTTTGTTCAGTATTTCCTAAGTCCACTCTTTTTTAAAAATATTTAACAAAGTCTTCATCTCAGTGTCTGAGATGTCACTCAGCAGTGAGCTGCTGACCAAAAAATAATCCAGGCGAGAGTAGGAGTGATGGACATGTGAGAAGAAAGTACAGTCGTGGCCAAAAAGTTTTGAGAATGACACAAATATTAGTTTTCACAAAGTTTGCTGCTAAACTGCTTTTAGATCTTTGTTTCAGTTGTGTCTGTGATGTACTGAAATATAATGACAAGCACTTCATACGTTTCAAAGGCTTTTATTGACAATTACATGACATTTATGCAAACAGTCAGTATTTGCAGTGTTGGCCCTTCTTTTTCAGGACCTCTGCAATTCGACTGGGCGTGCTCTCAGTCAAATCTTGACTGACAGCAACCCATTCTGTCATAATCACTTCTTGGAGTTTGTCAGAATTAGTGGGTTTTTGTTTCCTCCACCCGCCTCTTGAGGATTGACCACAAATTCTCAATTGGATTAAGATCTGGGGACCTGGTCCCCGAGCCAGTTATCACTTTTGCCTTATGGCACGGTGCTGTGGAACGCCAGGACTGCCATAGTGAATTAATTAAATACACCATTAAATAATTAATTAAAATGTGGCAGTAATTAATTACAATTGGAAATAATTAACTAAATAAATATTTATGACACATTTAATTAATTATTGACAATTTTAATTAGTTATTTAATGATGTATTTATTTAATTCGTTTTGGCACTTTTTGTCCCCTTCATGTCCGGCCTTGAAATCATTTTATCTGTCAGCCTCACCCATCAAACTAAGTGGGCGGGGTTAACGGTGCCACTGCAGCTTCTCTAACATTTGATTGGTTGCCGTGCAAAGTAAGTCAAGACAGGTCGATCCTAGATAATCGATTGCTTGTGTGGCCTTGGGGCAGCCAGGTATCCCAGAATGCATTTCAAATCACAGGCAGCAATGTTGGTGTAAAGTTATAAAATATCCTGTTTTTCTGTCACCAGCTACACTTTTAACAGTGTTTTAGCCGCGAATGTCGCAGCGTAATCTTCACACGTCTGGTCAGGTTGTCAACATAGAACGTGTTTGCAAAAGTGCTCAGATGTTTTCAGAGATTTCACTCGCTCTGCTAACAGTCAGCTGACAGAGAGCACCGAGCTCACAGCCCCGGTGTTCCAGCTTAACTGTTTTTGGGGTTTTTTTGGGGGGGTTACGTTACCCAGTTTGTTTACATATTCCACTGTCCGTGTTCCACATGTTGCATTTGCAGATTCTCATTTTCACCGTCTTTTTCCGCCTTGTGTCTCTGTGCTTCTGTAACATAAAGAACGAGCTGACGTGTTTCTCAGGACACCAGCGATCAGCTCAACAGGCCCTCAGTTTACCTGCATGCATCCTCCTCCTCACCTGTCAGCTGTTTAGCTGCTAATTCAAGAAACGCGCCCACGTGACCTGGTGATAGTCACAGTTTAACTGGGCAGCCGGTGCTCGATATAACGCAATGTCACATTTTTCTGCACAAGATAAGTAAATATAGTTTTTTCCCCGAGCGCAGAGCTGCTGAAGCTTGTTTCCCTACAGAGCACTTTATAGGCGAACCAACTTCATCAGCAGCTGATGTCCAATCACACAGCTTTGAAACCTCAGCTGAGTTTTAGCTCTCAGTGGTTAAACGCTGGACTTAATTCACTCAGGTTCTGTCTGTCGGGTCACGTTTACTTCGCTGTTTTATTTACAACTGAGCAAATCGGTTTGGCTGAGGTTAAACTGCATGTCTCCAAAAGTTGATTCTGTTCATCTGGACGTAGCGTTTTGTTTCGTCATCATCCAGGTGACTTCTTCAGTCTCAGCTGACTGCAGGTTTCAATCTTATAAACAGTACATTTGCATAATGACTGAAACCAGCCCACTGAAGGAACAATGGGCTGGGAGGTCAGTTCCTTCATCAGAATTATGCAAACTGTCACGGCCATTGATCAACAACCACTGATCAATGTCCATGAGTCCCATTCACAGAGAGTTG